GTACAAGGGAATGTTTGTTTATATTCTTGTGATATGTTGGGAGTGAATCTTTCAAAGGCGACTGTGATTCAAGAATTTATGAAGCAGTGTGAAATATATTCGTGACCTGTGAGTTTTTCTTTCTGCTCGTGCGGAAAACCTCAAGATTTGCCGGCAACTTTGTATGCGCAAAGAAATACCTGAAATCTTCACTTTTACATACGTTACGCGTGAATTTTTCCAAAATATATCCCTGCAACGGAAATGGGAACCCTCCTTTGCTACCGTTGAAGCTGTTTAAGCCCTGGGCTTATACAACTGCGTAGTGGTTTATAGCTGGAATAGAAAAAGTGTTGCGAAACGAGCTTCACAAATTCACTTGGCACTTTGTTAAAGCTCATTTGCATAATTTTCATAAATAGCAAAAGTATCTTTTTGACCATTTTGAAATCGCCCGAATACAGGACTTGGTCAATTCAAATATTTTATTGATGTAGTACTGAGTCGGTTTTTAAATAAAAAGCGGAACCGGAAATGCTTTTACATCTTATTTTGTATGCAAAACAGAAAGACTTTGACGTCATGTGTCAAAAACTCAGTCAAGCGTAAAATGTGCGATTTAGAGCAAAAAATGATGCGATTTGTGAATAAATCGCACCAATTAGAGCCAATCAGATTACAGGGACCACCAGTGATTTCAAAATGTATGTAACAATAGTGTAAATTGGCCACGTGACCGTAATTAATTTTAAAGCTGACGTTTCTAGCGAGGGCTAATGTCAGCTGTGAAACCTTTTATGGCGGCAAATTTACATTATCATCCCAGTTCATAAAACCAAATTATGTTAACAGTAAAGGCTGATAGTTTCTAAAGAAACTGTTTGGGGCTGCGTCGGTGGGTTAACGAAATAATTTGGATATATCAACAAAGTTGAAATGGTAAATTGGCCACCTGCACGATTACAAAAGCTGACGTTTCGAGCGTTAGCCCTTCGTCGGAGCGAATGACGAAGTTTCGCTCTGACGAAGGGCTAACGCTCGAAACGTCAGCTTTTGTAATCGTTACGGTGGCCAATTTACCATTTCAACTTTGTTGATATATCCAAGTTATTATGTTAACAGTAATTTGGATATATTGTAAATTACTGCTAGATTGTGGTTGCCAAAAGATGGTCTGGAAGATGACGTAGTTTATCGACAAGTCGCCTTGAACATATTTGTGCACGTCGCTTAGTTGCCACGTGCTACTTTTGAACACGTAATTCGAACGTTAAGTTTGAGGTGAGAAAGGGAAATCTTACTGGTTTAAGGTGCTGTTTTTACTTTTTCTGCTTTGATGTACATATTTCAGACTGACTCCGCAGTAGAAATCATACTATTTTAAGGATTTTGTTTAGTCACTTTTTTTTCGTGGTACTTTTGTGGATAGCATTTATTTGCCAAATCTCAGCCGAGGGGTTCCTGATCTTCAACATCGTTATTTTCAACTTGCTGTGCTTAATCTATTTCTCCTTTTGTATTTCATTCCAGGCGGTAAATCAAAGCCTCCTCCTTCCTCAGGTGAATCAGGTTACTGAATTTGGAAATATATCAAAACGTAGACATTGGTCACGTTTGGAACGAAACCTTAACATATAGGAAAAATCGTGACGGAAGATGATGCTTTCCCTTTAAGGGAGAGGGGTAGGGAGAATTCCTCCATGGAGTGATGGTTCCAACGGCTAACGATTCAAAAATTTGGCCATTTTAACGGCTAATAATTTTTTTCTGATGCGATTTAAAGAAATTTTACTGGTTAACAATTTTTGACGGCAAACGTTACAATTTGTAAATTTTTACGCCTGAATGCTCAATATTTTTGCCGTTTTCCGGCTAATGGTAAACCCCATTAAATCTAAACATTTCGCAGAAGAGTTTAAATGGATAAAAAGAGATAAGATACATGTCGAATAAAATGTTGAAGTTTATCCTCACAAAGAAAACTGTTGCTATCAACCATTATACTTCCGATTTACATTGCAAAATTTCCATCGCAAACTGTTTGTTTATTATATTCTTCAAGCGATCTAGTCGACTCTGAGAATTCTCAAAAGCTACGAATTATTTCTATTTGGCTCGTCACTATGAAAATGTCTACGTGATTCGGATGTATATAGCTGTAGCAAAAGATGAAAACGAGAATTGTGTAAACAAATCCACTTCACCTTCATGAGATAAGTGTCTTCTAATGGAAAGTTTAGGAATCAGAAAAACATACCATGAAAATATTATGCCTTTATGATTATAAATTTCTCCATAAATTCATGTGAGAATTATGATAGGAGAGGGATAAAAAAAGTGAAAAGATTTTGCAAAGCGAGTGGATGTTCTCTCTGCGTTACCGAAGGTAAATAAGTTGTAATTTTATAGCTCGAATTTTTGCAAACGTTTGCTTTTTTTAAGTCAAAGCTCGACAAAGCCCATTCAAGAAGAACCACTTTCAGATCTTCTTTCGACGGAGTTTATTGCGAAAGCGATTCACACCCAACACTAATATCGTCCAAAGGATCCCATCAGCCAACCGTCATTGGAACTTTTCATAATTACTATAAAAACAAACTCGGTGTACCTACTCACAAAAAATCAATATCCTTGATGGCAGGTGACTTACTTCGATTCAAATTACTAACTTTTCAATTTAATTCCACCAGTTCCGGTTTTGTGAGCTGTTGTTGTTAATTAAATTTTCCTTTTACAATGATTGCATTGCTGCTTAACTTTTTCTTAATTTAAATACATGAAGATTACTTAGCCACACAGAATGTTACGATTCACCATTTATACCCTACAAGTATACCATGAATTTCAATCAATCATTCTATAGAGGCAATGTGTTTCATTCCTTCTCGAGATGGCTAATCTTGCGAGTTAAACACAATGATAGGATCAGGCTCGTATCAAATACCAACAATGCTTGCATGCTGAAGAATACCGTAGTATTTCCCGGAGTTCATTTGGCTTATCATATCGCGATAAGTATGTCATTTAAGTGGTACCAGTAGGCGACGTCATGACTAGGGTGCCATTTGCCTGTGACATTATATTTAACTAAATTAACTCTTTATAAATGAATCGAGTTTCCCCCATTATCTAGGACAGTCCCGCAAACCTGAAAGCAGCGGTATGTCATTAACTGCACATCTACTTAAATATCTGTTCGATCAGCTTTCGGTGTGTAACACTTGAATTGTTCAAAGAAGTTATATGAACTTTAGGTAGACGCACTCGAACGCTCGCATAGTCTTCGAGAACGTTTTAAGTCCTTGGATCCCCCTTTCCTAAAAAAAACTTTTATCTTAATCTTCACAAAAGATGTCACGAGATGAAGACGAAATATTTTTATATCAATTTTGCACTGAGTTATGTTGCCTCTTTAAAAAGGAAAAGTTCCTTTTCGGTTTTGTTTAATGTTTCGTTTTGTTTTCTCCTGATGCACTATTTTACTTAATCATGAATCGGAAAGTTGGAGTATCGTGGTAGATCACGAAACATAACTTTTTTAGTGGTTCATCTAAGTCTTTCTTTCTCTGCATAGACGGTGACCTTAAGTTACAGAAGTTTGATATGAAGACGTTAAGAAGTGACGGAAGGGCCTGGAATGCAAGGCTAGTTGTCATATCTGCATGGGTTAGTTAGTTTTAAACAATGATACGCGAATTCGACCTCGGTGATAAATTCCTCTTGTTTATTTAGGTTTGAAGTTTAGTGGATGTTGTTTAGTTTTAACTAAAGGACGTTTAAACGCCACTGATTCAAAAGATTTTTGTGACGAATGATGATGCTATCTGAATCGAATCCCATTTTAAATCTAGTATTTTTCTTATAACAAAAAACCAATTAACCAACAAGCTTTAAAAGTTTCACTGATTCTTTTTCATTTCTTTTTTTTTTTAATTTCAGGTCCATATATTCCCTGAAAGTATTATCTAATCTTTCCCTACATCTCTAACAATTTTTTTCGGACATTTGGACAAATGCTGGAATGCAATCAACAGAAATTGTTAGTGTTATCATGACAGAAGCTATCGGTGTCGGGTTGAAAGGGATATCATATATGCATGTCTACGATGAGATCTTATGCATGCTCATCTAACTACGGTGAATAAACTGATTAGAGTTGAACTACTTCAATTGTTTCTATTTATTTGCTGAACTGTATGTCACTATTTTTCTCTCAAATTTTTTGGTATTGTGATGCACTATGGCAACTTTATGCAAGCTCTTTCTCCTTCAGTCTCCTCTTGGTAAATCGTGCAGAGATCCACACTTTTAACGCTGCCTGTGTCATTGTCTGTTAGAATGCCAGTGAGCTTCTCGTGATCTTTTCGAATTCAGTTAGAGCACTTCTCCATCGAGGGAAGTAATCTCATTTGCCAAATGAACGAACTTAAATGTTAAAAATAATCAGGCCAATGGGAAGTCAGAGTAAGACCATGTTAACCAACTTCACACGGAAAAATGCGATTATCAGGTCTGGGTTTTTTTTAACTCATCGATATGGTTAAAAACAGTGGCGTAAGTTGCTTTAGAATAATTCCCCAGAAGCGTGTAAGTAGCTTTGAGCTTCTAGCAGCCAGGGAATTGAGCGTGCAGGAGTTCTGAAGGAGATCTGGAACGAGAATAAGCCAGAAACCTCAAAGACCTCTTGCAGATCTCTTGTTACTCCAGTCGTAACAACAATGAGACTTAATAAGTTACGGCTATCAATCGATGATTTCTTTATATAGCGCAAATGATTTATCCTCTGTTGCTGTCCAATTTCGTTTCTTTTGTTATACAGAAAGAAAAACCGCATTGACCACTTTCATAAATGGCTGCCGGATTAATATTCTTTTGTTTAAATTTAAATTAGCCTTTCTGGCCTCGTTTTCCAGTACAAAATTCAAAAGAATACATCATCTCAAGCGAGGCCAGAAAGGCTAATTTAAATTTAAACAAAAGAATATTAATTCGGCAGCCATTTTTGAAAGTGGTCAATTGTGTGATACAAATACAATAACGCGTTAAAAAGTATAAGGTAACAGAACTCTCTTCTCCAAAAAATCCAGAATATTGAAAGTCTTAAACACTGCTCATGACTGCTGATTGAGTATGCACCATTTAAAAAGATATAAACCGAGATAAATGTCGCGGTATCGATCTTGACTGCGAAGTATCTGTGAACCGAATATCATCTGTAACGCAAATGTTGTTTTTTTTTCGTTTTGTTTTGTTTGTTTTATTCATTTATTTTTTAACGATATAACGCATGTCAACAAGTATGCATATCGATGTTACTATGAGGATTATAGTAGTGATGATGAGTACGAGGATGACGACGACAGAAACAATAACGATGACGAAGATGATGATGCTGATGCTGAAATGATGCCGAAATGATGACGTGGCTGATGATGGTGATATCGATAATGATTGTCAACACAGCGAAGGCAGTGACGACGACAAGATGGCGTTGACGACGAAAATGAGGACGATGACGATGATGATGATAATACTGTCTTTTTCTAAGCACATCAGGTAAAATGATGGCAGTACATCTTAAAATGTCAATTATGAAGAACCAGCGAGATAAAAGGATCATGATGAATCGTCTCTACTATTTACGGACATTGAAAGTAGGCACGCCCAAGCAAATAGAAAGAGACTGATTAAAAATCCTATGATCGGAGATATCCAACCTGGAATAGAAACAACAACAAATGTACCGCTCATCGATCTTGATATATTACCGCCTTGTGTTTTCATGTTGGAGTTAATTAGCTAGTGTTATTTAAGAAGTCTTTAACTTGCATGCAGCTTCACAGCAACCTAAAATCTAGGGAAGAGAAGAACCATCCTTTTTTAATTTCTCTCCCACTCCTCTTCTTCTGGCCATTGCATATCCTTTCTCCCGTACCCCTACCAATCCACCCCTTCCCCACCCACTCCCTTACTCCTTGTCCTCCCCTAATAACAGTCGTGGTCTTAAAAAGACGAAATAGCGAGGGCGGAACAGAGAAAAAATTTCGGTTACCACTGCACAACCCAGATGCGACTCCTACAAGCCGACTATCTAGTCACGCTGTTTTGTTACTTACCAATGTCATCATAAGCTTCACTGGAACTTGGCTGATTCTCGCCAAGGCATTGTTCGTGAACCGTATTGAAGTACTCGGCATTTTCCGAAATCACAGGTGGTATTAAAGGTTTCTCTCGTGCTGGGAGACTCAGTGTCCGTCTGGATCGATGAGATAAGGATGTTAGGGGAGGGGGGTTGTATGAATGACTTCGGAAAGCGCGCGTCTGCATCGTGCCGGTGGGTATGAAAATCGTGACTCTGTCAGACATTGCGTTACTTGAAGTAACGCAATGGCCTCTTGGCGGTATTTCTATGAGGAAACATGAGTGAGTTTAGTTATTTCTAATTTTCAAAATCAAGTTTAAAATGTCGATGTAAAGACTAGTACATAATCTACTCTGTGAGAAATAAGTTCGATTTTTAAAATATGTGTGAAAAATTGGTATTTTAAAGAACTTTTTCTTTCTTAATTAACAGACTGAGCTGAAAAACCCCCTTAGACGAAAAAGAGACATGTTTCGTCAAAGGACTCTTTCACTTAGAATTTCAAAATAGAAGCCTTTTAGTAATTTCAAATATAAAACTCTAGAAAAAAATTATTACTTTACTTTATATAATTCTGTTAAATACAACATTGATTCTTTTGTAATAACTCATTTTTTTCATAATTATGATTAATTGGTAACATAACTTTGTATTCAGTCTGTTATCATACAAGTGATTACAAATCGGTTCAAGTTTAACTCGAACAAATTACCACACAGAATATCTTAAACGAATCTTAAAAACAAGATGAATAATCGTTTTTCCTCTCAAACAGATCGTATCCAGCCGGAACTGTATACATTTAAGGATATCATTTCATTAGTAATAAATATCAGTATAATCAATTCCCATGAAGCTTACAACGGGCGAATCTAATGTTAGTACACATTGGAGGATTATTGCTTAAAATGGAGGAAAACGAAATTAATTAAGTGAACGTATTAAAGTATGTAAATCGAAAGTCTGTATTTACCTCAAAGAAATACCCGCGGCACTCTTTATACGGGAGAAAAACTATACTTCAGTCAAGGTTATTTCATAAAATGTTGTTGTGATCCAAGTTAGTTTACGGCCATTACAATAATAGATTTAGAATGCGCGTTTACTTAGGGCAGGCTGATACTTTTCACTATCAGCTTGGGCGAGCGAGTTCGTGGAGGTTTTGTAGCATCGTAAATACTGCCATGTTTGGTATTTTTTTAAGTTGTAGGGTATTTAAGGAAAAAAAGCAAACAAACGCGTTAAAAAGTGGGACAAATTTTTTAATGTACCACTTTTTTTCTTGTAAAAGCAAAAAATAAAAGAAAGTGAAAAATAAATGTAAATTACGCCTTAAATTACATGGATAACAACATCATCAATCTATTTTTCAGAAATTGTTACAAAATGTACTAACCTGGATTTGCTTTAAGAAATTAAACCCAGCCCAATTCAATGCCTCTTTGCGAGCGAGGAAAAAAGACCTTCTTGCGGCAAAACACTTTTCTGGCGTGATAAGATCAGTCACGTCGAAAGCCGAAGGGCAGAAGGTGCCGCCCACATAATCAGCAAATATTCACCTAAGAGACTGGCGAAAGTGTGAAATTTAAACAGATCTATCTTCCGTTTAACATCTTCCTTTGTTCGGGTTTCATTAATTTCCTGATGTTCAAATGAATCTTTATTTTAAAATCACTAGGCGCCTCTGTTGCGGCAAGGGTTAAAATTGAATTACTAATGGATGTTGCGAGCGTGAGGCCAACAAAATTAAAATCGACAAAAGCAGTTGTTCTAGACTTGTGTTTTAATAGTGCCATAAGTGTTTTTTAAAGTGCATCGAAACAGTTATGCGCCTTAAGAAAAGTGCCACAAAATTTTATTTTGCATGTCTTTGGAAAAAATCACTTTGGCTGAATTAAAAGTGATTCTTCATTTAAATTCAAATAAATCCAAGGTGAGATGACGCTTGACGTTTAAAACCCTTTCATCAACC